ATAAAAAAAAAAAAAGGAAACCCATTAGTGACATATATGGACCTTGAAGTCATTATGCTAAGTGAAATATGTCAGAAAAGACACAAACAGTATATGGTCTCACTTATGTGTAGAACCTAAAAACAACCAAACTCATAGAAACAGAAAAGAGATTAGTGGTTACCAAAGGCAGGGGTGAGGGATAAGGGGTGGTGGGTAAAGTGGGTGAAGGTGGCCAAAAGATAGGAACTTCCATTTATATGATTAATAAATGCTGCAGACATAATGTACAACATGGTGCCTATAGTTAAAAATACTGTATCATGTATTTGAAAGTTGCTAAAAGAGTAGATCTTAAAAACTCTCATCACAAGAAAAAAAACCTGTTAACTATGTGACAGAAAGGATATAACTAAACTTATGGTAATCATTTCACAAAACATACATATATCAAATCATTACTTTGAGTACCTTTAGTATAACGTTACATGTCATATGTCAATTATATCTCAATAAAACTGGGGGGAAATTTTTTTAAAACCAATAACGTCCATGTGTCTGTTAGGAGGTAGCTTTTACACTTTTAAATACGAACCAGAAGCACTGCTCTGATGCTACATTTAACACATAGTTAAAAGTATAACCACGAGGACTGAAATAAAGGTTATTTTACATATTGATTAAAAATTAGAATTCTGTGATTGTGATTCTCACAGTTTGTATGAATAAAAAATTGAATAAACAAAAAAAAAGACTAAAAAGCAATTAGTCAAGTATAATTTTTTAGTTCTTATGGCACATTAACAACAAAAACCAATCCAGGGCAGGAATGGATATTGTGGTTTCAGAAAGACAGGCATGTGTTAAATCGGAAAAACATGTTGAAATGGTAACATTCCTTAAGACAGAAGTCTACTATATTTAGTATCAAGTTCTGGTGAGAAATAATTCACCATCATAATCACAAAATAACTACCTAAATGATATTTTTTTGTTATTTGCTGATATGGATCCATAATTCTCATTTTGAAGTAAAGATTTTTATTTTTCTGGTGCCATCAAGTGGCAACATTATGAAGTACTCTAAGTTTAAATGCAAATAACTTTAGACAGAAAAAGATCACATTGATGTATCTGTGTCAGTTTAACACTAGTGACTTTTTAGCACAAAATTATCTTTAAAAAAAAAAAAAAGAAGGGAAAATATCAGAGCTAATTGCAACTTATCCCAATTTTAAACTCCCAACCCAAAATGAGAGTTAAGACAAAGAAGAAAAATGTGCAGATCTTTAAAGACCAGAATGTTCTACTAGCAAACAAAAAACCCCAACTGACTATATGACACTACCTGAAAAACAAAAATTTGTGGGACCCCTGGGTGACTCAGTCAAGCATCCGACTCTTGATTTCGGTTCAGGCCGTGATCTCACGGTTTTATGAGTTCGAGCCCCATGTTGGGCTTTGCACTGACTCTGTGGAGCCTGCCTGGGATTCTCTCTCTCTCCTCCCTCTCTCTGCCCCTCCCTGGCTCGTGCTCTTTCTGTCTCTCTCAAAATAAATAAATAAACCTAAATAATATATATTAAAAAAAGAAAGAAAAACAAAAATTTGTATCAAAATGATGTATCAATCAAACCAGGAGAAATACTCCCTCCTGAAACCCCATTAACATGGCAGTAAAAGAATTATTTTTAAGGCAAAAGCCCCCAAGGACAAAGAGACACCAAGAGAAGACTGCAACAACAACATTTTACAAAATGAAAATAGATGGATGCGTGGTTATTGACTTAGGAAGCTCAAGAAAGCTGCCTGATTTATATGACACTGTAAATTAGTTTGGGAACGTGTAGCACTGGGTAGCTTGGAAATGAGAGTAAGGGCCAAAAACAAGCGAATTAGTGAAAATTCTGGTTAAGAAGCACTGATGCCACCAGATACACTCCCTCTTCCGGTCCATGCAGCCAAGTATTCATCGTCTACCACATTAGAAGGCTGAAAGTTTAAACTCTCATAAAGCAGAGCACTTCTGGAGGACAGGACACCAAGCATGGTGAGGGCGGAAGTACTACAGCAAAAAAGGGTTCATGCTACAGGAGACTATGGTCATCAGAATGGTTCTAACAAGTCAAAGATGACAGGAAAACAGTAAAAATGATGATATTCTGGAAAGAAAACCATCAAGAAGGTCTTATCAACCTTCGGCTTTTGTGTCCACAATGTCACGTAACTAACTGTGGTATGCTTTACTCTGTTTTGTTTTTTTTTTTTAATGTTTTTATTTAGAGACAGAGAGAGAGCATGAGCAGGGGAGGGGCAGAGAGAGAGGGAGACACAGAATCCGAAGCAGGCTCCAGGCTCTGGGCTGTCAGCACAGAGCCCGACACGGGGCCCGAACTCACAGACCATGAGATCATGACCTGAGCTGAAGTCGGACGCTTAACCGACTGAGCCACCCAGGCGCCCCTTACTGTTTCTTGTAAGGAAAAGACAAATGACTTAAAAAATCTGAGGCAAAAAAAAAAAGGTTAAGTTCTACTTACAGACATCAGAAACATTCATTCTAAATGTCCCCAATCACCCCAGTAACTAGCTGAGAATTTATGGCAACTAAAACAGAAAAGAACAGTAGGTAAATCCAAGAACCTTTACATTTCATCTCTTCTCTTCAGGCCAGCAGGAGTAAATGCACTAAATCTCTGTGAATACTCCTGTGAGAGGTGAAGGCTGGGGAACACTGGCCACGTCAGAAAAAAACAGAATATTATTCATACAAGAGACATGGAGATTTGAGTTTTTTAAATCCTGTTTTTGTTGGTTAATTGATCAAAGCAGAGTGTTAAGTAGCTCTGATCCTGCCTTCCCTTCATGTAACTAAAAGTTTTTACCCAAATTTAGGTCATTTTTTTATGTTTATTTATTTATATGGGGGAGAGGTGGAGGAGTGGGGGAGGGGCAGAGAGAAAGGAGAGGGAGAGAATCCCAAGCTCAGTCTGACTCCACAGACTCAGCACAGAGCCCAATACGGGGCTCAGTCTCACGAACTGTGAGATAATGAACTGAAAGGAAATCAAGAGACAGTTAACTGACTGAGCCACCCAGTCATCCCCAAAGGTAGGTCATTTAATCTTCAGTAATTTCTCATTTTGAGTCTCGTTTGGACATAGGACTATACACAAGATACAGTTATATGTATACACTTTCTTTCCAGATACCAACATAAGAACATTCCAAAACATATTAATACAGATAAAACTGTACCTTGAACACCTTCTAGGAGTAAATCAACTCCTTTCCTATAAAAATTGGAAGCAGCTTCATAGTCATCTTCTTCTTCCTTTTTTAAAGCCAGCTTTATTAATTCTCCAGCTTTCTCCAAATAATCTCTCTTGCCAAGCTTGGACTTTAAACTGCCAGGAAAGAGGCTACGACTTTCCCGTTCTTCTTCTGTTTTGTTCTGTTCGCTGTCAGAAGCAACGGCCCCTAATGCTGATGGATCCGAAGAAAGATTGAGACCAAAAGTTCTAACGGGAGAGTTTTGATTGGAAGCCATTCCATCATCTAACTCAGCAAGAGAATCCACGTCCACAGTAAGAGATATCAAATCACTGTCACTGGAGAAACCTAGAAATATGATCACAATATAAATAGATATTAAATTAACAATCAGCCAAAAAGAATACAAATCATGCTGACTATTCATTTGTTCATACTATTCGAGTCGATCAGGAAGGCTGTCATTGCCTGATGGAGATCGGTGCCTGGCCATTTGCTTTAGCTTACTGAATTCAGCTCTGGAAAATAATCTCCTTTGCCTTAATTATCAGACTAAAACTGAAGACAAGTCTTTATCTAGTCTTGCAAAATGAAGAGCCTTTACCACAAAACCTTGTAACAACAGCATTATAACAAAGAAAAAAGAATAAGAGCCTCAAGGTAAGACAAAAACAAGTGCCTGAATCCCAGCTCTTAAAACTTACTATGTGACCAAGCCCAAGACACTTAATTTACTTACTATGCAGAACTTTAAATGAGGAATACAGTTCATGCATACAAAGCATAATAGGCTATCATTCAATTGCAACTATTATGGCAATTATGTAATGATTATTTATTTCTACAACGTACCCTCAGAGGTATGCTTTTAGTTAATCCATATCTGGAAAATGTACACCATTTGGTTGTGTGTGTGTGTGTGTGTGTGTGTGTGTGTGTGTGTGTTTTAAAGAACTAAATTTTTAGAAATTTTTGTTTCATTCTCTTCCACAAACTTTTGGAGAGAGGTTTGGTCTGTATTTGCCTCTTAGTTTTCTGACAGAAAATGAATACTAGGTGGTACTGAAATATTTAGCGATGAAAATTCTTTCTCCCATTTCACAAAACTGACTTCATGGTAAACGAGCATGAAGTACAACAGTTATGAAACTTCCTGGCGTTAGGACCTCCCTTTACATTCTTAAAATAATTGAGAACCTCAAAAAAGCTTCTTTTTGTGGATTATACCTGTAAATACCTAAAAAATATACCTGTGGATTATACCTGTAAATATCTATTTAAAATAGACTAATTTTTTTAAGTAAACATTAAAGCCCATTACATGTTAATGTAATTTTTGTTCAAAATAACTATATTCTCCAAAGCAAAAAAGTATTTAGTAAGAATAGTGACAATGTTTTACAGTTGTACAAATCTTTTTAATTGAAGATGACTAGATTCTCATATTATGATTTTGCACTCAATCTGTTGTCGGATGTTGCCCTGGTTGAAAGATTTGAGGAAGATCTTGCATAGATATGTAACTGAAAATGGGGTGAATATTTTAGCAGCCTTTTCAAATACTTGTGGATATTGTTTTTTGATACTATACCAAAACTTGACAAGTGGTAGTTTCCTAAAGCTTAGTTGCCATATAGAATATAAATTCTTGTCAGTGAAATTTGTTTCTATTACATTCAACTCCATTGATCTGTCTTGCACACTGAATGTGTGCATCACACATTGGACATTTTGTAAGTACTGGTTCCCTGAGTTATAGTGACAAATCACATTTGTTACTATCACCACCAATCTCAGCAGAATATTCTTTAGGTCTTGGGGAACTGTCAAGCTCAAAGTAGCAGATACAAGTTCTCCAAAATTCAGGCATCTGGCTGGCATCAGGTGGTAGAGCGTATGACTCTTGATCGCAGGGTCCGGAGTTCAAAACCCTCATTAGATGTAAAGATTACTTTAAAAAAGAAAAAAAAAAAAAAAAGGTTCTCCAGGATTCTAATTTGGCACTGAAAACTCAAAGTTTATCATTGGCAACAAACACTGTCAGCTGTTTTCCTTAAAGCGTCAGCTCACTTTGTTTGCGTTTGAAAACCATTTGCCAAATACCCAAATCTGAATAATGACAGTTTGTCTGTCAATTGTGCTTTCAAGCAAAAATGATGTCCCAAGAGAAAAGCTGCTAGTTCATAGCTCAAACAAGTGCTCTTCCTCAAGACAACCATGGCAATTCAGTTAGGCAGATGTGTTTTATGTATACTTCCATTTTTTCACACAGAATATAAGAAAGACATGTAGCAAACGGTGGAGATTTGATAAAAGTTAATAGTTTTTACTGCTTTATCATGGGCATTCTCAGGTAAAATGAGCACTGGCATTACTGCAAGTATGCGGCATGATTCCTGTTACGGTCTGGTATCACTGTCTTGATTCACGCTCAGGCAAGGCAGTTTTACCTATCATTGCTTTTGCATCATTAGTGCAAATGTCAAACAGTGAAAAAGACAAATAATTTCCTAGACCATTGCAAAAATAATTTCTGCCTTGGTGACCCCCTGAGAAGATCTCTAGAATACCCAAGGGTCTAAAGACCATACTTGGAGAGCCACTGATCTATATATCATTCAATAAGATTGACAATAGAGTTACATACAAATTAAATTTGGGAACAGCTATGCAATCTGCATCACCATTGAATGTTGACTTCCAAGTTCCTCAGAAAAGACAATATATTAAAGAGAAAATTATTTCCTCAAGATCATATCCTAAGCCAAACTTAAAGGTAGATTAGACTATACAATTCTAGAATAGGGATCAGCAAACTTCTTTTCTGAGGACCAGAGAGTGAATATTTTAGGTTTTGTGGGCCACATGATCTATGTCACAACAAATCAGCTCTGTTGTTGAAGTACAAAAGCAGCCACAGATAATATGTAAATGAATACGCATGGCTGTGTTCCAGTAACACTTTATTTATGGATGTTGAAATGTGAATTCCATGTAATTTTCACATGCCATAAAATAATATCCTTTTGAATACTGTCAATCATTTTAAAATGTAAAAACCATTCTTAGCTATTAGGTCACATAAAAACAAGTGGCAGGTCAGATTTGGCCCACAGGCCATAGTTTGTCAACTTATTATAGACTTAAATTGCTTACTTCATTTCAAATAAAGTAAGTTAGGGTAAAAACATGTTACTGGCAGCTAAACTCAAATTTCAAATCAACTTTAGACACTACTTTGGCACCCTGTCAACATATCCTGTTTTCAGGGGCTTTTCTCAAATCCGTGGAATGCCCATAAAGAACTAATTTTGTTCTCTAAAAGCAAAACACTTCATTAAATCCACAAGCTGAGAAGAGATTCATTGGCTCTGGTGGAAATCTTTTCAATCTCTGACATTTCAACTGTACAGACAGCTCTTCAAAATCAGAATCTTTTACAGCAATCTACAAAATTATTTAACCACTGTTCTGAGAAATATATAAATTTCATAAAAGATTTTTTTAATGATTTCAAAACATTTTATATATTCCAATGCACACTTATTTCCTTAAATGGGGGTATTATATAACCTGGTCCATTGATACTAATAAACAAATAGACAAAGTTTAAAAAATAAGTTCTGGTTTATACAGCTAATCATAAAAGAAAGGAAACACTGTTATAGATCTTTTGTCTGCTCTCCAGTGTCTTGTCACTATAACCTTCACATCATCTATCATACTGTACTGTTTCATGTTTTGCCTGATTTTCCTTTCGAACAGGAACAATAATACCAAAGGGCAAAGGGGTAAAATTATGTGTACTCAGTTTCTTGGCTTTTGACCACAAAAATCTAGTGGCATAGTCTTATTTCCTCTCTTACCTTTCCAATCTTATTTTGTTAGCAAAGGAAATCATGATTACATAAAATTGGATCAGAAGAGCAAGACCAGCAAAATACCTGGGAAGAATATCAGATAATGAAATAAAGTAATAATTAATAATAATATTCAAATAATTTCCTTTTCAAATTCTACCTAATTCTAAATGAAGAATCTTTCAAAGTGAGCAAAGAAAAACTAGCATGTTAGAAAGAGGAATTTTTCTAGCCCAACTACGAGAGGAGCAAAGGGAAGCAAAAAGACTTCTGATTTAACCCTTTTGGAAGACAATTTGACAATGCATATCAGATGCAGAAAATCTTTATACCTTTGACCCAGAAATTCAACAATTATACCAAAAATAACCAGAGATACGATCAAAGATCTATATTTGAGAATAATCATCACAAAAATTAGTGAAAATTTGGAAATAACAAATTCCTATAACAATAAGAGATTATGGTACATCCCTTTGATAAAATATTATACAGCTATTAAAAATTATGTTACAAACGAATATTTAATGCTAAAGTATTCATGATCTATTATGCAAAAATAATAAACTGCAAAGCAGTATATACATATACTATAATTCTAATTTTAAAACAAAAACAGAAAAAAAGGCTAGAGAGGTAGCCTAACAGTAATTTTCTCTGTATGGTGGGATTATAGGTGACTCTTACCACATTGCTTACATGTGTATGACAAGCTCTTAAGGCTCTGTATTTGAAGGCTATCAAAGGAGATGCAACAAGGGCTAAAACTGGGAATTTGTTTGTGAACGAATATATGCTATACAAACATAATTTATGCAATATAGGCCCATACGTATCACCCAGCAGCCAGTGCCAAGGAATTCCTAACTTAAGAGAGAAGACAGAAACGATTACAGACAGATTTGTCTGAAGCAGACTAACCCTTGACATTTCTTCCTCGCCTACCTTCTTCCTTTAATTCTCCTCTTAAGATGCACCCTACCATATCTCAACCATATCATAAGTCGAACCCTATCATATCTCAACCATACACTGCAACCAATCATCTTCTAGGAAATCTCTTCTGCATTTAAGCAATTTCTAAATTCCCTTCTTCTCAATGAAGTATCCTCCAATCACCTCAAGAACGCTCCCCTTTCACTACCACAGTAATGAATTATTTATACACACACACACACACACACACACACACACACACACACACTCAGTACCTAGTTTTTTTCACCTTATATCCTTAATACAGCTACTTATCACAGTGCTTGCTCACCTCCTTGAATTCACGGTCCTGTCATTCAACCTGTTTTATACAAAGCTACATAGAAATATCACGGAAAGTGGAGACTAGCTTCCTAAAACCCAGAAAGAAAGCTAATAAGATAGAGCAGCAAACAAGAGGTTCTCGTTAAGGTGAGTAGGAAGAACACTGTGGATAAGGCAGGGCAACAACTGACAATTCAGACACTATTTGTCAAAAGTTAAACCAACCTG